AATAATAATAATAATAATAATAATAATAATAATAATAATAATAATAATAATAATAATAATAATAATAATAAATGTATTTACCCAATTAGATTTCATATATGTGCTGGGCATGGTAAATATATCAATTGTGATATAATTAGTTTTAAAACTTCATTGTATCATTTTTTTATATATGAAGCAGAATCTGAAAGAAATAAATAAGGAATATTTAAAGGAACATTATAAAAAGATAATATAGGAAGAAGAGTTTGTGTAATTGTTGAATTATTAACATATATTAAAAAATCAACAAAAACTAATTTAGTATATGAATGATATGTAAAAAAGATATTAACTACATTTCTTGCACAATTATCACTAGTTTCATCCATAATAATATAAACTGGTTTAGAATCAAAAATAGATTTTAAAAAAACAATATGTTTATTAAAAACTTCTGGTAAATATATTTGACGCAAAGTTGATGCTTGAGGAATTGCACCTCCTTCTTTCAAATACTTTTTAAAAAAAGAAAGTAAAGAATTTACTTTTTCTAAAGGACACTAGTAAATGCTTCAATTAAGTCTAAAATTACTTCTTTTTTAGATTCTGCTACAGATAAAGTAACTTGTAAAGTTTGTTAATTTTTTTTTTCTTTAATTTCATAAAGTTTTGTTGTGCTAAATGTTTTTTGCTTGCACAATGTGCATCAATTGTTGATTTGTGTTTCTATTCAACTGAAAGATTGCAGTAATTACAAAAAAGTAAATTGTTATCAGCAGCACGAAATATACTCTCATATTCTTTAACTCATATATAAACAGTAGATGCATTAGATTTTTGATGTCTAAGAGAAGACATTTTTATAAAATAGTTTATTAACTTTGATTCATAACATTATATAACCATTTTTTTAAAAAATGAACAATAGTAATTATTATTATCATTACTATTATTCAATCAACAAAACATTAGTATAAAAATTAATAATGAATAATTTCAAAAATAGCTAGTACGTATTTTGAATTAAAAAAATACTATCCATTTATGTATGTATAACATTTGAGCTTTTTCATAGCAAATATATTAAATTTGCTGTAGAAAAACCTCAAATAAAATGAAATTATGCTTTTTTTTTTTATATATATATTTTATTGTGAAATTATGTGTATACGTATATTTAAAAAAAAATTAGATCAAATTTTGTAAAATTTTGTGGTGAAACTATGCAAATTTTGTAATTATCACAAAATTTTGCGACTTTTGTGATATTTTGTGAACTATAATATATCATCATCTCTGCCCCAAATTTGGGAGACGTCTAAAGCCATGTCCAGTTACATGGTTTTGTTTTTTTTAATTAAAGTTAGAGTAAGGGTTAGTTTGGTTAGAGTTAGGACATGTTTTATAGTAAAATTGTCTTCCCAACATTTTTTATTAATGCACCAAGATTGGTTTAGACTATTGTTTCTTGTATTTTTTGCGATTTCGGGCTGATCCGTGTTGATCAAAATAAACAATTCTATTGGCTTTAGATCACGTGATGGACACGGCTTTAGACGACCCCAAATTTGGGGGGTCCTTAAAGCCCGGCAGAAGTTAGGGTTACTTTTTTGATTCAGTTAGAGTTAGCGGTTTATTAAAATATCAAGAACGCAAGTTATGCAATATGTAGATCAATATGTAAATCTGCCCCGCTTTAAGGGACCCCCAAATTTGGTAATATCTGTACCTCTAATTGCACAAACGCGTGATATGCTTGTTTTTGTGCGGACAGATATGAATTTTCAAAATTACATTTTTGATGCATTAGTATAATATATCTAATGAATTAACCAAGAATGTAACTTATGATGCATCCAAAAACAGAACTTTTGTGTCACTATTACTAAACATTAAATGCGGAAAAAAACACTTTGATCTAATTACTATTGTTTCGTTTAACCAAAGGTATGAAGTATGTTAATTTTAGAACAGCAAAGGCATCACACACAAGTATGTCATTTTAGAACAGCAATGGCATCACACAGTGTACCGACGCCTGTATGTGACTGGGCCATATATTTATGGATTCCTGCAGCCGATGTTTGGAAATTGGGCCTTGCAACGCCTATTAGGACTCACAGCCTATGTTGTGAGCCTCTAGATAGATTCGTTCAACATACTTTTTCCAGAAACTTATTTTGTCAATGCCGTTGCTTGCTGTTATGTCTTAGATTCACATATAAGATATACTAAATTATACTTTTGTAGATGGATATTTCGACAGGCGTTTCTTCCTATTTCAATGATATATTATTTGAAAATTGTGTTTTTATTGATCTTCTCGAATATTTATCAAGAAAATGTGTGGGTTTAACATCTGAAAATCGTGACGAGATCTTTGAGAAATATAAGAGCCAGCTACGTTCAATCATCGCATCTAAATCAATGCTTAAAAGAGCTAGGGATAAAGCTCGTAAATTAGAAGAGTCTACAGAATCAACATTTCAACGCCAAGAAGTTACTTTGTTTTTTAAGAAACTGAATATAGAGGTATGTTATTTAATCGTGTAATTTGTAAATTTGTAAGTTTGCGTATATAAATATTAACTTCTTGACAGGCTATGACGAATGCGACCAAAAATCTTACAAATGCAATAAGAGATTTTGTGAATGAAAGTGAAAACTTGTATGAGGCAAAACTAGAAGCGCGTGTGATTACAAGACGTATAGAAGATATAAGTCCTGAAGTTGGCTGTTCATACAAACGGATCAGGACATCGGAAGATGATGATGAAAATATAATGAGTAATAGACCAATTAATCTTCAGGTATAGTTCCTCTATAAATCTTCAACCAGCACGTACAATCATTCGGTCTAGATTGATCGACACCGGCCTGCACTAAACGATTTTGAGGTCAAAGTTAAGTTGGGGTTAGATCAAAGTTAGATTAGGATTTGTATTAAAGTTGTACCAAAATTATGAGAGTAATTTTTTTGTCAGTGCACGAAAGGCCGTTTCATAGGCAAAAATTTCAAAATTTTGAGATAGAAAATTTTCTTCTTAGTTTTGTCGATTGTGATCAAAATAACCTGTGCGGAATTCATGCATTCTTACAACCAATAGCGCCGGTGATTAAATTTTTATTTTTATTTCTAGTTTAATACGAGTACAGTACCAGAAGAGTATGATGATAAAGTTGGTGGTATGTATATAACAATTGATAACAAAATATTCAACTGTTTTTACATGTTTTTTTTTTATAAAAATTGCATTAATTAAAGAACAAGAAAGTGAAGACCATGATAACTGTGAGGAAAAAGCAATCGAAGAAGAATTACACTCATATGACTTTTATCCAACTCATCTCACAAACGTTTTATCACAACAAACAATATCATTATTGTCTATCCTGACGAACTATTGTGCAAAATCAAACACCTCTCCTTATGAGTAAGTTGTAATGATAGGTCACTGTTATTCCTTAGATTATCGTTTAAGTTTTATTTATAATTTTTTGCAGCCTAGCACATAGTTTCATTCTAGACCTATCACCGACATCCAAAATAAGGAATGAATTCAGTTATGAACAATGGTCAGAATTATCGAAAAGGCCCGAGGTTGTTAAAAAAACTTTTCATCAAGAAATCGAACCATTTATTGTGCTTCTATTTGAAAATAACGTGAGAATAAATGGATTAAAAAGTAAAATTTTGAGGTAGCATAGTCATGCCAAAAAAATATCGTGAAGCGTGTGATCGCTAATCTTTTCCGGCCTTACCATACAATCACTTCGTGTAATCGATAATTTTTTATTACTCTAGAGTTAACGTTAACGTAACCGGTTACACTAAGTGATTATAGGTAGGTCAGAAGAAAAGCCCCTAGCTGTCCCACAAAATTTTTTCCACCCCTTGTAATAACGGCCAATTGAATTTCAGGATCAGGTGTAACGTGAAAATCGAACCGAAGCAAAAAAACAAGAATAGCTCTAAATTTTAATTACTGTGGTCTAATGAAAATGTTCCTTGTAAAATTTTACTTGTAGATGTCACATTATTCTAGTCCTAACCCTAACTATAACGCGGTTTTCTTAACTTTAATTTTGCACGTAACTTTTTACTTAGAACAACAAAACACGTTTGTTTTGACTATCACGTTCCACCTGATCCTGTAATTCGATTGGTCGTTATTACAAGGGGTGGAAAAAATTTTGTGGGACAGCTACCTAAAATGTCAGAAGAGATCGGGCGATCACATATTTCGCAACATTTGCCATAACTATGTTACCTAAATTCTTGAACTAAACTAACATTTATTTGTTGGCCAAATATTTTAGATAAGTTTGTCTCAAGCCCGCTTGAAGTGGTATGAACTTCGTAATGTTGCTGCTCCCACATACAATGACAAGTTTTCTTACAATGAGAATGACTGGGAAAAAATCCAACGTTTGATCGAACGAGCAATTCGACAATTGTATGTTAGATTACTTGTATTTTTGGATGAAATTATAAAAAAAAGTTTAAATATTTGCTTGATTTTACAGTTTGGATGCTTTCGAGTCATGTAGAAACCCCTTGGAAAATGAGCGTCAGTGGACGGGAGATTTTATAGTCCCTTTGATACAAGGTGCACTGAAACTAGATGGTAGATGCCTTGTCCCTTGGTAAGCTAGCTATATTATTGGTTAAATTATACATTGTATAATAATTTTTCATGATCTTGATATATTTAAGGGGAGATGTTCCGGTGTTAGCGACTCTACATCACTGTAATGATGGTAAAGATATATATACTGAAAAAGTATCACGAAGCCATCAAGCTGATTTATTATGTAAATTTGAACAAAACGAAATTGTCTGTGGATTAATTTGTGGCGGACCACATTCCTATGACTTAACTAAGTATGCCTCTGATCAGTTTAACTTACCGCGTATGATGAAGGATATGCTTGACAAATTAGAGCTAAAATTTTATTATTCAAGCGATCATAAATTATATATAATTGGAGTTCAGGTAGCTTTGTAGGATTATATGAGTGTCGCTAAAAGAAACCCCGAAAATTTAAATATAAGTCATATTTAAATTTTCGGGGTTTTTTTAGTGACACTCATATAATAAATTTATATATGAAAATTATTAATTTTTTGCTTGCATTGATTAGGTATATATGACCGAAGTCCAAATTTACATGATAGAAAAGCGAGAAGTCTGTTTTTTTCACCATTTAAAATCATTTGATCTTCCAATATCATTTTCTTCATATAATAGTTTGAAGTTAGCACTAAGAACAATATGGAATATCCGGGTGAGTTTTGACTTTATTAGGATTATATAGCATGACAAATTTCTAATTGCTTTTCTTATTAATAAAATTTAGGGACTGGTCAATTCCCTAATTCAGGAATTCAACATCATTTTAGATGATAATGATGGGTTCAAAACACCACTACAACACGCGTCAAATGATACAAAAAAAAAATGATTTAATGTGTATTTTGAGATTAATTTTCTCGAATTTTAAAAGTCTATTAAAATCTTAACGTATAGTAGCATTTTACAAGCCTAAAAAACTTATTTGTAAATTTAAAATTGGCTATCTTTGATGAATATAAACTTGCATTTTTCCATTTCCTGTGCATCCAATCAAATTTTTGGTCATGTGTAACACAATTCAAAATATGCAACGAAGAAAATAACTGTTTATTTAATGAAACGAATGTATGTGCCAAAATATTTACTGCTTTGCTTATAGCTATTTTCATAATTCTGGAACACCTGATAAAAATTGATTGAATGATGCTTCGGCCGATTCGATTAAGTTTGTTACATTAACTGTTAACAGTCAACTAGTGCACTGGCACATATTGCCTGCATTACGAAAGTTTTGCCAGCACTATGAAAGTTTTGCCCAATGTTATTTACATGCAAAAATTGCATATCAGAAACTTACACGCAAATTTCTACCCTATATATAAAATATAATACTTCTTGTTACAGATAATTTTACCATTTTACCATTGTAAATATCGACACGTTCAATATTATTAAATTTCCAACGTGTTTAGTGTGTTTAGTTTGCTCTGTAAAAAATTTCTCCATATTTGTAAAAACTCCGTGAATCTTGGTTGATGTAAATCAATTGCCCGGGTAGCTTATTAAAGTACTTTTTAGAAACGTAACGTTTTACTAACAAAAAATCACTGTAAAAACCGTTTCTAGCTTCGAAAGAACGTCTATATACACTGTGCAAAAATAATCAAAATTAATCAGTAACCCCAAGAACTTCACTTATAAACAAATATTTTACGATTTATTGCTAGTTAACATTATACATACATAGCAACCGCATAAAATGTTCGCGGATATATATATTTTACATGTATATAATAAATACGTATCATACTTGTTCTACAGATAATTTTATATTCACTTGAATACTTTACCCAACATGTTAGTGTGTTAAGTTTGTGCGAAGATTATTCTTGTTAACAATAAATCTTAACAAGATATAAAAACACGGATATAAATTTATAAAATAGAAAAATAGATATAGATACAGTATATATAAATACTTTTTTATGTACATATCTAAGTCGGTATATAACTTTTTAAGTTGTAATGCGACTAATTTTATATCCCAACCAAAGTTCCATTTCGGATTGTAATTCATACAAATACTAGCCAGGTTTTTTCATTCATTAAGGCTTTAAGATGTTATATCATTCGTGTCTAGTAAACATGATTTGCTTGAAAGTGATAGAAGTTTTTCAACATCTTTGAAAGTGCCTGAGAAACCGATGTATTGAAGACTTGCTAACACCTAAATGTTTGGCAATTTTCGAACGATAAGCCTTCTAAATTTTTTTTTTGTAACTATTTGCCATCGAAGTTCTTTGAAAGTATCATAATTCTGTATTCAACCAAAGATATGCAATCGGACTTTCAATGTACAGTTTGCTTTCTACATGCCGTCTATGGACAATAGATCATCGGACATTCAATTATATGAGCTAGGTGCTGGGAAAAGGGACCAAATTGACATTTTTTTCAAAAGTAATTTTTTTATATAAATTAAATTAGAATACATTTTTCACTTAAGACACATAAGTAGTTATATTAATAAAATTATACAGTATAGCTCTTTAAAGTTTATATTTCCTTATAACTTATTATAAGGTTTATAACATAAAAATTGATTTTCTGATCTTTTTTTTGTCAATTTGGTCCTTTTTCTCAGCACCTAGACCATATATTGTGCCGGATATATAGTATATGGCACAAAATATTATTGAATGTCCGATGATAGATTATCCATAGACGGCATGTAGAAAGCAAACTGTACATTGAAAGCCCAATTGCAGGTTTTCTATTGACGGCACTCATATTATCTATAATATTTATATTAGTTGCCTGATTTTAAATTACGTACGTACGTATATATCTGAGTAGAGATGGGCACGCGCGGGATTTTTTTAGATCCCGCGCGGGATTTTTAATATGATCTCAAAATAAAACTATCTGGCCGGCATTAGCATATCATCTGGCAGCATTAACTTAATATCTGGCCCGCATTAACATAAT